CCAGACCGTAGTCGGGAAGCACAGGTTTATTAAAGTGGGAATGTATCGTATTGAAAATCAATCCCCACACTCCTTGTCATAGCCGTTTATATTAGTTGTTTTGTGCAGACATACTGTGCTGTATTGATTTAGGATAGTTTTCATTAAAAATTCAAACACATGACCAATGAACGCTGATGTGGAGCAACAAGTCACCACGCACTACAGTGATTTTCTGGGCAGCTTGAAGAAGAAGAATTAGTACGATTGATCACAAATAGGTACTCCAGCCTGTGTTAATGGAGCCACCCTCAGTTTGTCATTTCTCACATCTGTGACAAATTACTGGAAATCACATAATGGTCCATTTAAAAAGATCCATAAGCCTTTGTGTTGAAGGTCATCTCTGTTTTGACATAGATTAAGTCATTTTTACAGAAAATGTTGTTTTGCTCTACCACTGCAGAAAGAAGGTTGCCAATATATAAGAGAACAAAATACGACCCAACAAACAGATATAAACACAGTTTGACTCCTGCAGCGATCAAAATATGACAGCTCATTTTCCGTTCCTGTACCACACCAGTCTGTCATCTATTTTCAATAATTTGCTTGCTTCTGTGTGTTTGACCACAATATTGTTAAACCAGACAGACTTATCTCTGTGTACTTGGGGGAAGAGGGAGAGACTGAGTGGAAAAAAAGACAAAAGGGCCTGAACTGAAATGACAGGCTTGCTGATTTCCAAATGAGAGACCCCTTTTTTGCTGGTGTGATTGCTGACTGGACCCAGCAGCACCTCACATTTATTACTTTGTCCATATTTTTTTAAATTCTGACTCAACACGTACACATATATTGACCAACAGACTTACACCCTCATAAGCAAACACACTTTCTTTTCCTTAGCAATTAATTGGCATTTCTTCCCTATGCGACTTACTTGTTTCTCCCATTTCATATTCGCTGTCTCTCAGCAGTTCAAAGATGTCCACCTCCAGCTTGCCAGTGGTTGAGCGGTTGCTGTTCCTGTTGATGCTGTCTTTGGCCAGCGTGATGGCCAAACGCTCTCCTCTGCTGCACTCCATAGGGTCATCAAGGATGGCAGCTGAGAAGAAAGGAAGGGAAAAGAAACGCTGGGTTGTGAGGGTGAGAGAGAAATAATTATCCCTCCTGGTAACTGCTGTTTTTCCAAATGAATGAGAACGAGAGCCGTCCATCTATGGCCAATGATCATTTAATCTGAGAATCTGTATTTAAAGCCTTTTTTCCCCCCTTTTAGATCTGCAATAAAAGTTCAATCCACTGAAAGCTGCTCCCGAGGTGTATGGATTTATTAGCAGGAATACTTAGGTGACATTTTGTGCACACTGTCCTCCATTAATCTAGAGTGCCTACAGTGCAACAGTATTGTTCTTAATAAATCCATACACTTTGGGAGCAGCTTTTAGTCAGTGAACTCTTTTTTTGTTCTAAAAGGGTGAGTGCTATTTAATGTAAATATCTGATCTGTATGATAAAAGCTTGAAAGCTTAAAAGCTTTAAAATCTTGTGTTCCAAGATTCAAGAGCTGTGCAAAAGTATAAACTTATAACATACTGTATTCAAAACATCTGTCAGTTGTTTTGCTTTCAAAGAGGCAATGTAGAGTCAGTGCAGTAGCTTTTCAGAGATGCTACACTGTGCAAGTCGTACCAAATTAAATCAGTTTGCCACAGGAGCATTAAAGGATGATGAGACAACATGTTATACTCAGAAATGATTTATGAATGAAATAATGTATTTGGTGTCTTTTAGTATAGTTATCAGAAAAAAACTGATGCTTGTCTTGTACATGGCATAGCTAAGCAAATTTAAAACAGGAAGTAGATAATGCACTCCTCTCATTTTTTATGCAGGAAGAAATAATGTAATTCCACTACAGTAAGGCTGAAGAGATTGTTTATATGGGATTTTAATCATTCCACATACCATAATAACTAAGGAGTCGTATATTCTCTGAATGTAGCTATAATGAACACCATTTAGACAGTAGCTTCAAATGCTTAACATTTATTTACAAGGTGAAACTTGGGAGGACGGTATTCTATTTAAAGTTTTACATCCTAGATTTATTCCGTGACCTTTAAAGGCACACAAATTGTCATCATGGGCAATTAAGCAGGCTAAGTAAACATAATCTGTTCACTGTGTTATCAGACAGGTGAAAAAAATTAAATGAGATATATATGCCTTTTTATATACTGAATAAAAGGCTTATCAGTCTAACCATAAATGTACTTTTTCCAAGACGGTGTGATGTTTGAATCCAAACACACTGCATCAATACTCATCTGGCTTCAATACTATTTGTAAGATCACCGAAGAGCCTGGCTAATATTTAATACTTTAAGCTACATCAGCAGGCTGCATGAACAACAAACGTTTATATGAACTGTAACACACCTCTATAGGTCTACGCTCAGGGTAGAAAAGAAAACACCATGAAACGAGCAGCAGATGTTTGAGAGCAGGCTTTTTAATTAATGTAAGTATATTGTGTTAGGACAAAGGTTCCCCAGTTAAAAAGATTACATTAACAACTAAACAGAGGAAACAGATAAAGGTAACCTACCCGTAAGTGTTTGAAATTAATAAGGCACAAAAAATACAATATAGCACAACTTGGCTGAAAGGTCGATGTATGTATTGTAGACTATTTAATAAAGAGTAAAATTGCAGGTAAAGCATTGTAACTTCACGCCTGATTGTATCAGAATAAGACGTGTATACAGAGCTGGAACATGTCCGAAGTGACCTTTTCCCTGCTGATCGCACAGTTGAATAAACAACAACTAACTCTAGCTTGCAAAGATGAGACATATCCACTCATCTGATATCATCATGGGGCAATGTCACAGCAAGCCAGTGTCTACAAGCAAATGAAAATGCTTTGGTAAGAAGCAGAGAGCAGCAGTGAAAGGCCATCTAAGGCTGTACTCCTCTCTGTCTGATTGTAAAGCTGTGGACAAAGGACATATTAATTTCTTCATGCTCTTAACTGACTCCCTCTTGATCACGTACAGCTAACAACAGCTTAATATGATCTCTGGTATATTATTTGGATAGTTCAATAAAATCAAAGGCACAAATTCAATAATTTTTTTATGTGTAGGGAGGCAAGGGATATTTCTCTGCAGTGAGTAATGAATTTGAGTTGAAGTTAATGTGTTTTTTGAAAGAGTGGAATTTATTAAGAGCGTAAAACAATCTTTTGAGGACACACAAGCATGTTCAAGGTAAGCAGTCATTACAGTCATTTTCAGATGAGAGGAGAGTTAATTTCATGTCTTCATTGTTTGGGAAACATTTCTCACTCGTTATCTGACCAAACTTATACTATAAATGGCTTTAGCAATGCAGTCATCATTAAACACGGTGCCCACAGAGTTTTCCTCAAAGAAGGTACACCCTTATGGTGGGAAATATACGGCTTTATACGTTTTTTTTTTTTTTTTTTTAAACTCAAATATAAAAACCCTGCTTCATTAATATTCATCATTCAGCTCTCTGGACTTCTCTCTGTCTGAGGATCAACACTTCAAATCCTGAGGAAAACCCTGTGATGGAGATTTATTTTGACACAGCAGCAAGTTTAAAATTAATGGTTACAATGTGATTTTCTGTCAAGATCACGATTAAACATATTAGGCCTTTCTGATGTGTAATTTGACCCTTGCCATGTCTTACGTCCAAGAATAGCTGTGTTACATCTTTGGACTTTAAAGCTGCTCTGATCAATATCTTTACATTAATAATGGATCAAATAATTACATGTTCTGTATACAAATTTGGTCGCCAGTAGCGATAAACCCACAGAACCAACGCTGCATTCCCCCTCAGCTTTATGGAGCGCTTCCGTGCCTTTCAGCTCATTGCTTTGGTTTTATGGACCACTGTTTTGGTTCACTCTCATAGCTCATATCAGCACTGTTACCAGATGCAAGTTCTAAAAACATCATTACACGCTACCTGTCCAATACCAAATGGCAGACAGACAACGTAAGCAACTAGCGGGTGAATGCAAACTGGAGCTAAAAGAGAGTGAATACCGGTCGTGTTGTGTTTACAGCCTGTTTCCACTGTCCAAAGTGGCAGCAAAAACAGTTTGACCACCGTTAAATAAAACCTTTTTCAAAGTGATCCAGATTTAAACAAGCAATGATGTTTGTTTGGACCAATTCAAAAAAGTTATACAAAACATGAAACACTTCATATTAAATGAGAATTGTCTTCCAACAAGATGGAAATAGACAGAAGTCTTTGCTGTTTTGTTTTCAGGCCAAGTTATCACACCTTACTAATATTTGCTGAAATTAGCCACAACTGAGAATGTGACAGCGGAAATAACTCTTTAGTCAGGTGAGTTGGCATTATAATGAATTAATGAGCAGAAAAAATATTTTATTAAAAGTTTAATGTCTGCTGAATCGAATTTTTCAATCCGTCTCTCTGAGGAGTCTTTCTGTACTGTAACTTTCTGCCTCATTTTTCCTTTCTTACCTAAACCATCTTTCATTACTTTTGTGTTGTCATGTCTCCTTTCATCTTCTGTTTTGCTCATTCATTTTATTTGACAAGAAATTAATTGTGTAATATCATCTACATTGACAAGTCTGCATCAAAAACACAAATATGAATAAAATGTATCAAATCAGTTTAATTTGCTCAATACACCAGTGCAAATCTATCCAAACTAGTACAAAATGAAAATTTATGAAATAATTCTGGCATGTCATAGTCTCACAGGAGTTGGCATTTGGGAGTGGTCAATACATGACAGCTGGCAAACAAGCAAGGCTCTTTTCACACAGGGAAAACATGAGCTGGCCCTTGATCCATTGAAACTAATCAATGAGTAGCCCGGAGGTGAACTGAGGCGTTGCAAGCTGTGGACTGTGGAAGAGAGGCTTACTGAAAAGTAGGTATGAAATGAGAATTCCTCCACATAAAGGCACAGGAAAATGATCGCATGAGGTTTTTAACTATTTCTCACAACATGTCAACCTCTGGCTGATTTCATTTGTAACATTGAAAGGCCTTATTACATGGAGCAATGCAATTTTGTCACCTTTGTTAGAAACACAATTACGCTTCTTGTACAGATGCACGTACACACACATACTGTACACTCAAGTACACACACTGCCATTAAAGTTTCTGTCACTTTACAGCCAGGAATGTATCCATCCTGAACATTTACAAAAAGGCAGCAACAGTAAAAGTTTAAAACTTCACTTCCTGCTGTTTTCTATCCTTCCTTTTGTGTATTCCTTTTGAATAGACAAATCACAGCAATGGTAGGTCTGTTTGAAAACACACACTGTTTTGGAAGATGTGCTGCTAAATGTAAGTCAGAATCAAGGCATTTGGACCTCAACCTGCGTCGGGGGTCCTGCTTTGTAAAAATTAGTGACAGGGCCTTATTGCAGTACATAAAGGCAAAGTCCAAGCTTGCATTGCTGAAAGAGCGAAGATTTTTGTGATATAAGCATACAGCAGCTTGAAGTATCTCTGGAAAGTGGCAGTCAAGGGTAAAAAACTCATTATCCTTTTTGAAGGATCTGCTAGCTTCTCTATTAACTCAATGGCTGCATCTCTCTTTCCATCAGACCAAGTGCTAAATGCAGATCAAATGAACTAGCTCTTGACCAACTGTACGAGGTAATTAATGCTAATGTGTTCTCTGACTTGTGGGCTTTGCTTGAGGGGAAAAGCCATTACCTGATAGGGAGAGGGGGGAAGAGTTCAGAGGGACTTGGCCTTTGATCAAATTAATGCTTTTGAAGAACATAGATACTGTAAAGTGATTTCACATGGCTGTCATTTGAATTGGAAATCAACAGCTTCTATTCAACATCATACACTTGCTGGTCTACAATATACATTAATGTGCTCTCAATAGTTATTATTAACTTGAGTGACTGCTTTTCTCGCCTCAGGTAAATGAGAAGCAAGAATCAATTCAGACTGAGGAAAGAATACACTAATGCAAAACAGACCACTTTCCATATAACCAAGTATTGACATAAAGTAATGCTTATTTGCCCAGCATGTTATGAAACTAAG